AACTAGAAATAAAAGTAGAGAATCATCTATTTAATTTGCTAAATGTTTTAAGCAAGGAGATAGAGAGATGGTGGCAGCTTAAATCAAATGATTCCCTTGTTTTCCTCAGATATGGCCCATCTGTCCCTGCATGACCATGATGGCTCTAGTGGGGGGGCCTCAGACCAGGACACAGTTCCTCCTCTGCCTCACCCAGGGGCTGCTCCATGGCCAATGCCTCTGCCTTATCAGTTTCCTATTCCACATCCTTATGACCTGCCACAGCCTTTCCATGGAGGACCAGGAGCAGGCAGTGCTGGAAGCCTGCACAGCGGTGAGTGGGAACTCTGCAGATTTTCATTAAGCATATTGATCAACCTGTTATTTTGTGTACAGATAAACATTAAAAACAGCAGTGAGGTTACTTTGATGTCAAAGCCTGATTTACCGATTTAATCTCCCAACAGGACTGAAGAGAATCTATAGAAAAGCTTAAATTGCATTTCTGATACATTTTCTAAAAAGGCTATTCTGTATTTCAGGACTTCCCAAACAATGCTAATATGTGACCCCAAAAATTAGTGTGCCAGAGACTGGTGACCTCTATTGGTAACAGCATGTAATTATTTCACTCTGTTTCTAAATATAGATTGAAATAATTAGATGTATTTTTGAATACATTTGTTTTTAAAATCTAGGGCCAATTTACAACACATGTCATCTTCAGGCATTTTACAGAGAGAATTCAACCAAATCAGGTAGACAGATTTAAATATTATTTTCAGTCATGCTTATCCCAGGCAGGGTTGCGAGTGGTGCTGGTGCTCCAGCTGTCTACAGGGGCAAGAGGCGGCGGTACACCCTGGACAGGTCGCCAGCCATCGCAGCCATAGAGACACACATATTATATATTTTTTTCATGTATAAAAAAGTTGTATATCTAATTATTTTGTGTAACATTTTATAGTTTATTTATTTTGATTTATTTATTTCATTTTGGCCCTCCATACACCTGAGGCATCACATTACAATGAATCTAGAAATCATGCGACCTCTGCCTTACATTATTAGTATCACTCGTTTTGGAAATGTTTTACCGATGTTTAAGAACTCTTAAAAAAAAATGTTAAGGGTAGCATTTTAATACCATTGATTTTTAACACACCGTTCAGTTAATACATATGGAATTCAAGAGCCAGTGGAGACGGTTGTACATCCTTAACTGTAGGTAAACACAAGTTACTAGTTCTCCATTAATTCTTCATGGTTGTTTGGCTGATTCCTACTCCTTTTAATGTCTGAAGGGATAGTGTGCCCTATTATAAGATAAATTAACTCTTTGCTGTTATTCGTCATCTAGATCATGCTGCGTTTAACACAAAGTGGCCAATTTTACTCTACTGTGTGTGGTGGTTGTGTTCTTGGTCTACTATACCTAAATCAAACATATTTTGTATACACACTGAACATAATAGGTTTGATTAACTTTTGTGATTGGCATTACAGGACACAGTTCAGGTCAGTAAGCTCTTAAGGGGGGGTGGGAGCTTGGCAGATAAACTCAGAACTGGCCATATTTGTTGTCTGGAATTTTAGGTATTTAAGATCTGGGTGAGAAAAAAACAGCCTTTGTGGTTTTAGAAAATGTCTGCTTACAACGGAGTTATTCAATGACTAACAACAGCTGGACCCACGGAGACACTTCTTAGCTATGCTGTTTTCATTCCTTTCTGTTTTCCTTGTGCTTTACTTGATTTTAAAACATGCTTGTTGATTGTTTTCAAGACATGAAAAAAAACAATACTTGAACAATACGCGAAGTGTGCTTCAAGACTTTCTGAAGGTGACATATCAGCTGTATGCATTCAGGCTGTCAGTTTGACAATATACCAAGCTACTAATACTTAAATCCATAAAATAAAGCTAATTTCTTTTGGCAAATGGTCTTCAAATCATCGAGAGTTCATCTATGTTGAATCGGTTGTATGTTTTGGATCATTATCCTAATGAAAATCTAATGGATAACCCATCTGCAGCTGAGATGTGTTTTCTGAAATGGTCTGTTTTTTTTGTTTTGTTTTTTGAAAAACTTAATGCTGCCAAAAAGAAGTGTCTAATGGTCGTGAGACAATGAGATGCAATCTACATGCCACTATTTGCTGCCCTGGACTTGGGGGATGTACACTATAAACCATGCCTTTTAGCATGTATGATAGAAGAATAAACAATTTCTTATTGAAATTCTTAAAAACTCTTATCAACCTTTAGAAAAAAATTTTTAGGTTTTAGTCCAATGGTTGCCTTATTTTATTACAAAGAGGGGTCTGGCGTTCTGATGAGTGTAAAGCAAGTTTTGATAAAAAAAAACATTTTTTAGACAAACATTTTTTTATTACGCCCTATGGAATAAATACACTGAAATGAAAGGTTTTTTTGTTTTGTATTGTAAAATAATCCTACTGCAATAAAAGAATATGTTTTTCTGTATGAATGGTTTAACATATCAGTACAAAGAGTTTCACTTAAATATTTGCCCATATATATATATATTTTTTTTATGGCAATGAAAGAAAAAAAAAATGTATCTTTAATTGTCTCTTGTAATTCATTTAACAGGAAGCAGTGGCTCTAACTGCAGCAAGAACGAGGGCCGGAAATCTGGTGGCAGTGGCAGCGAATCTGAGGTCAGGAGCCACAGAGCCCCTAGTGAGCGATCAATAGCTCCCCCTAGTGAGCGCAGCATCCGTAGCTCTGTCAGCCACCGCAGTGCCAACTCTCATTCAATTGCCTATGGGCCCGGCCTTGTCTATGGTCCCCCCGGCCTGCCCCCCCAGCCCACACATTTGTCTACCGCTGCACCTGGTGCTCCACAAGGCAGAGAGCTGCCATCTGTGCCTCCTGAGCTGACCGCTTCCCGCCAGTCTCTGCGTATGGCAGTTGGCAACGCTGGAGAGTTCTTTGTCGACGTAATGTGACCATGTGTTGAAGTTGGGAATAAAGTAGCAGGTTGGATGTTCTTATCACCATTTATGTGAGGAGGACATTGTGACAGGTCGAAGGAGGCAGGAAAGATTGCAAAAGCTGTAACTCAAGGTCTTGATAACTTTTTCAAAAGCATAAAACCAACCTAGTTTTGCATGCTGATAAAAAAAAAAAAGATGTCCTTATCACTTGTGCTTCTCTCCCAAGTAATAATGTTCATACTTTCTTCAGTGAAGAAAAACCCCTTTTTCAAGATGGAACCAAAGTGTCTTTCTCAGGGTGGGTGGAAGTTTGTTTAAGGACAAGGCTGGAGTGAGATGGCTCTGGAGGAAACGCTCAACTGGAAGGATGACTCAGCTTAAAACCACATGGATGGGGTTCATTTATGCTGCTCTTTACTCTTCCCACCTCTGCTCTGCTTTCCTTATCTGTTCAGTCCACCCACCCCCCCCAGTCCTCTCCATGGCATAACAAAATAAGGCCTTTCCTCTGTTCTTTTTGTCCATACTCTGACCTCTAACAAGAAAAAGAAAAAACTAAAGAACACTAAATGCTAACCTTGATTCTAATGTTTATGATACTTGCTTGGCATAAAAGAGAAGAAATGAGAGCTTTTGTATGTAGAATTGCAGTTGTTTTTTACTGTAATGTTGCAGTTTTCTTATAATATACATAGTTGTTCACTACCAAGTTAATTTTAAAACTTAACAGGAGCATTGAACATTAAGAGTCATTTTTACACTACAATGTTAAAATATTTCTGCTAACCAGAGAACTTTTGGTCTCACAATGTATAGTGAAAATTTTCTTACCAGGCTTTTCACACTACTCTTTGATCAAGGAAAATGTCTTTTTATTTATAAATATAGTTTTATGACATAAATGTGGTGTTCTGTGGGGTCTTTTCTGTGTGTTTGTGATTCATTCTAAAAAAAAATAACTCCATGGGCCTTTTTTTTCCCCCCATGCTAACTCAGGTCATATTTGCATTTAAAAGCAGTGGATTCCAGGATGTCTATGAGCAGGAATGTGAAGGTTGGCCAGTCTGGTTTGCAGATGTGTGTAGTAGGGGTGGGATGGGGTATAAAAAGAGCAGTATGTGTACAGTTAAATTGGTGTCGGAACTGAATGACCCTGTGCAAAAATTTTCTGTAGATTCAGGTGGAATAACCTCCACAAAAAGCTGATGCTGCTTTTCCCCTCCTTAAAAAAAAAAAGTGGGAGTTGACTTCTTAAGGCGATCATTTGGGTAAAAGAGGTCCAGTACAGTTTTAAAGTCTAAAGTATTCCTTTTAATTTAGGTCAAAGTCTCTCCAATCCTAAACTCTGGTGTCCTGCAGCTTTTTTCGACACATCTAAATCTAATAATTAGGTTATTAGTTAGACTTAGTTGTTCAGAACCCCATGAACCAGGAAGGCAGTTCAGACGCTAGATTAAAGCAGGTGTTCACTAAATCTCAAGGACTGTAGTTTTGGTTGATTTGTTTTCCAAGTCTGGGGTAACAGTAAGCAAGAGTTACTTTAAGAGTTCATTTAGAATTTTGTCTTATTAAAATTGCATCTTTATATAATTTATCCACTATACATTCATGTATTTTAGTCATTCATTTCTTTTATCTATACATGTTTTTCCAACAAGCTATTACTTAAATTATTTTTGCCATGCATGCACCCATTTATGCATCTTATTTTAATCCTCTATCACCATTTATTTTATGTATTTTGCCTTTTTCTATTCTAATTGTCCTTTTGTCAACAATTTCTATATTAAAAACATGATTAGATGCAGCTTTTATGGAATGGATAAGTTTTGCACTTGTACTTCAAAACCTATGACAAAACATGTTCACTAGGAAAGTATGGGCAAAATTGCAGAAACCCTGGGAAAAAATAAGTTCAGAAATATCTCATATTAGAACATTTTAACGGTCTTCTGCCGCCCTTCTGGTCCTTTTGGGGAACTGCATCTCACTAATATTTAAGATAAGTTCAGACCTGTGTTGTTTCCTAATGAAGGCAGGGTGATTTGCCATCCTAAATAACGACGTGCTCCTTGACTAATATCTAAACCCTATAAGAGGCAATTAGTCGCTCATTTGCTTATGATAAGTTGGCCTGGGTGCGGTTTGTGCAGTGCTCCAGCCGCGCCTTTTCCTGTCACGGCTCAACGGCCGTGCGTAAAGACGGCGGGTCAGCTGACAGCTAGCAGGACAGCAGGGAAAAGAAGAGAAGCTTTGCGGGTGAATGAGGTGGGAATACGCTGGACACTCGAGGCGGACTCGGGCGCAAAGCAGTGGCGGCTTTCGTGAGATAATTGGGGTAAATATACAAACACGGTTCTATTTCAATGCTCTGTTGCGTGGTAATTGTCAGGTAAAAAAAGCGAGCGTTTTAATTCGGAAATGCTAATATTAGCAACATTAGCCGCTAACGTCAAACTAGCAGCGGTAGGCTATGTGATAACGGAAAGGAGGCATTTTGTTCCACTCGGCAGAAGTAACCAGTTACGTTGTCTCCTTATGGGTTAGCTGTGATTTATATGTTGCAATATTTCTTGTAAAAAAACATATTGATAACTTTTAATGATTTGAGAGCCTGTCGTGTCCTTTTCCACAGTGCTCTTTTCACCGGAAGCCCGTTAAGAAATCCGCTTGGCAGTCCCGATAGCTAGCCTGCTATGGCTAGCTAAATTAGCCCGTTACCCTCCTCACTCGGCTTTTTTTCCGCTGCTTTAATCGGATTGAAGGTCAGATCTTCGTTGACGCTCTCTTATATTAAAAGTGATTGCAATGAATCAACTATCGATGGCACACTGCTTTAACTGCAGAGAAATAAATAAAGAAACTCGGTGTCGTTCAGGAATGGCCTGAATGAGCAGACATCTTGACTTCAGCAATATATTGTGGATAAACCCCCATTTGGTTTGATATTTATTTAATTATATATTTTTTCATTCGAAAGTGTTCACATGTAATTATCTTATTAATTTTTAAAACGCCATCTGAAGCCCAGTCTGTTTTTAAATGGAATTTCATGGATGTCCTTCATCCCTTTTTCAGATTTTTTTTTCAGCTAGAACAGATCACCATGACTAGAAATCCAAGTCACAGCAAATAAATTGTGCCACAGCAACATATGATATAAATTGATCATTTTGGGTTATTGGTGATAAATTTGATTTAAGTCTCATTGAATCAAAGAGCAAAAGGGGAGCAGCTTTAAAGCCTGCTACCTGCCTCAGTCTGACGACTGCTAATCTGCAATTGATCTTCTTTAGGAAAGCTAAGGAATGTCCTGATTTGAAGTACTCTTGGTTAATATGTGAGTCAAGTGTTTCAAAAGCAGTGCAGCTGCAGGATATATTCAGCTCTAAATGAGAGGATGTCTAGTTGTGAGAGAGTGGAAGATGGAGAAAGCGGGTTTCAGGGACAAATGCTTCTCTGTGCCGTTGGCCGCTCTCACTTCTCTATCATCCTGTCTTTCCGGAGCCCGTTTCCTTCCCTAATGTCTGTCTTTTCTTAGGAGGAGTTTGGTTTCATCATGGCACGCTGGGAGTGAGAAGCAGCCACAATGATCGGAGGACTGTTCATCTACAACCACAAGGGGGAGGTCCTCATCTCCCGTGTCTACCGAGATGACATAGGGTATGTTTTACTGCAGCATGCTGAAAGGCTTCTAGATCCCTGGGAAACTTTAGTGAGAATCTTATGTGTGGGTGGAGTGTCTGGGGTTTATCCCAGATCTGAGGATTATGTCCCTGAACCTGTGTAAGTTACTGTTTGTTGTGTTAATGGGAAGGAGCTAAAATACATTTAAGCCAGGAGTACATGTAACATAGTATTACTCCATTAAACTCTAACGGTTGCTTTGCAAGTATCTGTCAAATCCTATCCTTTCAGATTTAACAGTTACTGTAAGTGAAGCATGGATAAAAACTGTAGGTTTTGATTATATAACCTTCCCTGTTGTCTGATATAAGGATTTAGTTCACTCACCCTGAAATTTTAAGATTATGTGCTGTTGCATGGGAAAATATATCTATAAAAACATTCATACAGACTAGACCTCTTTAAATTAACTATTCCCCCATAGAAATATATCACAGGGATAGTTATAAATCTATTTACCATCAGCATGCAACTCTTGGTTCTTCATCTCCTAGGTCTTGCTCACTATTCTAAACTTGATGCTCTCAGTCATGACATGGGTTTTTTTTCTCCCCCAAATGTCTTATCTTCTGTCATATTTGATGTCATTTGCCTGTATAGCATATTTTGATCATTCGTATTTTTAGTGTTTCTTCACTTAAATACATATACACTAGGTGTTTATATTATGACTCGTAAAACAGTTTTCATTTAAGGTTGTTTCTATGTGTGCAGTTGAGATGGGCTATAATTTGGGCCTTCCCTGGACTGCTGATTAAATGGGAGAAAAAGCTCATGAAAAGGGAGTACAAATCCACAGGATTCACGTTATACATTTAATGGACAATTTACTTTTTGTTTAACAAAAACATCTAAAGATTTATGAATCCAAGATAATTTTTGCTTTCAGTGGTGTGGGGTGTTATTTTGTCAATCTGAAATAAGCTATCAACTGATTCCTAATTGCAGAAGAAGGATTATTCTTTTTATATGAACAAGACCTTCAATGAAGTATTGAAACCTGATGCAATTTGTAAGCATGACAAAAATTAAACAGACATTTGTCTTTCTCTCAAAGTCATATATTTAATTTCCCTTGTTGATTAATTTTACTAAATTTTCTTTTACTGAATGTACAGAACAATTCAATGAATTATATTCTTGAAAAGTTTGCCGTACCTGTACTCTGTGAATGAAATGAGTTATAAAGATTACAAACAAACTGATGTTTTCAAGGCTTTAATTTTGTTGTAGTGATTTCTGCTTTAGAGAAAAACCATCAAGATTAGGTCATGTTGGACCATAAACACACCATCTTTATGAGGCTCTAATGGAGTGATTAAAATGTTTATGACCAGTTTGAAGACACCTTGATAGGTGTCAAAGATTCAGAAAGTCCCTTTTTTTTCAGCTTTGGTTTATAGCAAACATTCATAGATGTTTTACATGTATCAATCGTGTTTGATATTAGGGGTTTAAGTGCAACCAACCCAAAGGCTTTTGTGAGGAAAATTTTAAATGTATCAGTGAGTCATTAAATGCACAATAAGTCTGTTACCAAGTTCTGTATTAAGCTTCTTGGATTCAAATGCTGTTTTAAAATACAGTTTAGTTAAATGGTTAAAAGCCAACAGATGTCCATGTCTGAAATTAAAAGGGTGATCTGGACTTTAGTTTTGTAAGTTAAGACGAGCATATACAGCTTCAGTGTTTGGTTTCTTGTGAATTTTTTGCTTTGTTTTGCATTACCCAATTTATGTTCCTGAATGCCTAAAAAAATATGGTCCTAAATGCTCAGCTTTTGTGTGACCCAGATAATAAGGTCCTAGTTGCAGGCAGTGTCATTCAGAAATATTCGGGTAAACGACTATTTCGGGTATATGACGCTTATAAATTGGTAGCTGGGCTTCACAATCATAGCAAGAATCACAGGGGTCGTCGGTGGCTCATTACCCCCACATTGTTTAGCATTCTGTGAATCTTTGTTTCAATGAGTGGGGGCACTGAATGCGGCTCAGGTGTAAAGTGCTCTGAGTGGTCAATTTGACTAGCAAAACTTAGAAATTAAGTTTATTTTTGGGATTTGGACTTTACTAGAAATAATACTGCAGCTGTGTTTTATTCAGTACTGGATACTTTACTGTGTAAAGATCATAGCAATGCTGATAACCTTTTTCCAAATATGGCATCATGAACAATATACCATGTTTCTCACTCTGTCTACATGATGCACGAAAATGTCTTGTACATTTTTGTCTGTCCTCTTCTGTTACCTTTGTTTCTCCTATCTATCCCGTGTTAACCATTGTTGTTTAACCATTTTCCTCCATCTGTTCATCTTGGCCCCTCATGTAGAAATAGGTAAGAGTTCCTGAAGCTTTCAAAGCATGACTCCTCCCCCTCATGGCCACTGATCAATGACCCCTGAACTGCATGAGCCTTTATGCTATGGTTAAAAGGCCAATGGTTCCTGTAAGCATGTCTCACCTCTACATACATTGATTACTGGACAACCTTTTACTGAAATCAAGCTGCAAATCAATTGAAATCAAGGAGTTTGACCACAGCCAGACTGTGGATACTTCACCAGCTGAGCTAGTGCCCTGGCATGTAGTCTAAGCATGGGCTATGGAAGTTACTTTGGTGCTTCTTTCTGCCGTTCCTTTCAAAAAGGAAACATTTGTTATAAATTCTGTAAGGTTACACTTGGTGTGTGATGTGGCTTAATTAGCATTGACTAAAATAATTTTCTGAGGTGTTTTTTTTTTTTTTCATATCTGAAACTTAAACGTAGCATATTTAGTAGTGCAGTATTTGGCTGGAGACATAAGAATTTATATAAATTAAGTGGGACCTTTTTCATTTGATTGTCCTTCGACATGTCTGTCATATACTGTTAGCTGCAGCGCCTTGCCAAAGTTTTCACGCCACGTTAAGTTTCTTGTTGCATTATCTAAACTATTGTATACGGATTTTATGTGGTGGACCATCCTACAGGCCTCAGAGGTTTGGAGAATGTTAGTCAGCGAATTACCAATGGACACAGCAGAAAGGACAGGGCCACAGCTGTGGGGTTAAAATGGGGATGAAATGAAGCGCATTTATTTGACATCTCAGTGAAGCAGCAGTAAATCTACTCAAGGGAAAATTTCTTTTTTATTATTGATCAAAAAAGTCATGGTTTAAAGCAAATGCAGAGATGTTCTGTGTAATGCCTGAGAGGGTTTTAGCTAGGGGAGATGAATGGGACTAAATACAAGATGATACTGGAAGATAGTCATTTAGAAAGTGAAGGTCCTTCTTTTGGCAGGAGAACAACCCTACAACATGCAGCCAAAGTTTCAATAGATTCAGATCAAAGAAAAATATGGTATGATGGCCAAATCAAAGTCCAGACCAAAATCTGATTTAGAGTTTGGGATGTTTAAATACTTTATCCATCTAGCCTGACTGTACTTGAGCTGTTTACCAAAAAAGGGTAAAACTCCCTTGCATAATTTGAAAAGCAGCCTGAGGAACAATACTGTAATGAACAACGGTTCTATGGGTGTAGGAATAGACTGTTCACTAAAAAAAAATATTAGTTTGAAAAGCCATAAAAGCTTTTGGTGTTTTTCATTGGTCCACCACCTGAATTCCCACAGGATTACGTTGAACATTGGAATGTGACATAATTAGGAACATGTGTTACTGCTGTTTCTGCAAGGCAGTGTATAAGTGCTGCACACATTATACTGGATATTCACAGTAGTGCTTCCTTGAACATTAAGTTTGGCAATGCACATTAGAAATAATCATGCAGGTTTTTATCTTCCCCTAATTAAACATTACCTTTTTATTTGGAGAAATTGACCAAATAAGTTTTAAGATGTTAATCCTTCACTCTGGCATTCTTGAAATGCCTTGTGCGACTCTTTGTGTGTGTTCATGTTATTTGAAGCAGCGTTTTCCTGGGGTAGCTTTTCTAGTAGAAGCTAAAGTGTACACATTGTATCTAATGGTATATGTAGGAATCCAAAGTTACAGACTACCTTAAAGTATGCAGGGTTTTTCTTAATTTTTTTTTAAACTTAAAAAAAAAAAAAACTTTTCTCTCCTGTCCTTTGCAGGCGTAATGCTGTGGATGCGTTCCGTGTGAACGTGATCCACGCCCGGCAGCAGGTTCGGTCCCCGGTGACCAACATTGCCCGAACCAGCTTCTTCCATGTCAAGCGCTCCAACATCTGGTTGGCAGCCGTCACCAAGCAGAATGTCAACGCCGCCATGGTGTTTGAGTTCCTTTACAAAATGTGTGATGTGATGACGGCATACTTTGGCAAAATCAGTGAGGAGAACATCAAGAACAACTTCGTGCTCATCTATGAGCTGCTGGATGGTAGGACGAGATTATGAAATCTTCTTTTAGTTGGACCTGTGCTTTTATATTTAAGATTGTACAGGAATGTTGTTGTTTGCTTGTTTTTTTTGTTGTTGTTGTCAAACCTTGTCTGTGTCACATTCATAGTTAGTACATCTCAGTCGGTGCTCATTCATTTCACCATAGCTCGTCCCAGATTGTTTTTCTTATCTTCACTGAAAGTTATCTGTTCCTGTTTTGTTTATTCAGAGATCCTGGACTTTGGCTACCCCCAGAATTCAGAGACAGGTGCCCTGAAGACCTTCATCACCCAGCAGGGCATCAAGGGACAGGTAAGCAAGACATGTTTACACTTTGATCACATTTTTAAATCCTTAACTTTGATTTGATCTTTAAACAAACTTGGCTGTTTATGACCAATGGAAAATTTTCATTGTATGTTTTAGTTTATTCTGAATATGAGGGACGGGTACATTTAATGTATGCTGCCTGATTCTGTGTGTCCTGTTGATTCAGTGAAATCTTTGTGGTAATAGGAACAGGAAAATTCAAATGAAGTAGTTTTATGATCCAGATATAAAGGTTTTAAAAAATTGTACATGCACTTTTGTCTCTGTTGTTTTATATTGTGTTTAATCTTTTTTTTTTTTTTTTTTTTTTTTTTTTTTTTTTTTTTTTTTTTTTTTTTTTTTTTCTTTTCTTTCTTTGCTTCTTGGTGTGGATTCTGGATCCTTCAGCATCAGGTAATATGCTTAGATTACCTTTTCTTTCCCATCTTTAATATATTTAACACCTTTCCATGTTGCCAATTATCTGCTTACCTTGTGGGAAAAAAACCTATTGTCTTTGTTCCTTTCATTGGCTGCTATAATGTCTTCCCTCTGAATGTCAGACAAAAGAAGAGCAGTCTCAGATCACCAGCCAGGTGACGGGGCAGATCGGCTGGCGGCGTGAGGGCATCAAGTATCGCCGCAACGAGCTCTTCCTGGATGTACTGGAAAGCGTTAATCTACTCATGTCGCCTCAAGGTCTGTTTATTTTCCTTTCCCTCTTGATGCTGATGACAGATGACCTTAGTGGTTTCACTGACATTAATATTATCAGTACAAATTATTCTTTTTTTTTAATCATTTTATTTTTGTTCTCTGATAGGTCTGTTATGTACAAAAATGTACTATGTAGTTGCAGCATGACCAGTTATCTAAAGCTAGTTGCCAATTAACTTTTTCAACAATTCCTTCTGAGGTCCTTGAGTTGTACTGTTTTCAAAGATAAAGAAAATGTGTGCCCTTTAACAAAAGGTCACCTTTTGCTGCTGTGTGATGATAGTTTTGTATCTCCCTTCCAGGTCAAGTCCTAAGTGCACACGTGTCAGGCCGAGTTGTGATGAAGAGCTACCTGAGCGGAATGCCTGAGTGCAAGTTTGGCATGAACGATAAGATTGTTATCGACAAACAAGGGAAGGGTGGAGCGTCCGATGATGCAGGAAAGAGGTACATGATGGAACAAAGAGGCTCTGATCCCGAAACATGACTTTGGTTAATTAATACTTTTTAGGATGTTGAACTACTTTTCTCACTTCTGTATTTTCATTGACTGGTTCTTTCTTTAGAAAACCTTTTTTTCCTTTTTTTTTTTTTTCTTAAAAAAAAAAGGAAGTTTTGTGTCAGAACAAAAAGGAAGCTTTTAATTTGTTGTGTTTTAAGCCTGTTTATAACCAGTCATGCTTTACAAGTTGTTTTTTTTCCCCCTTTTCTTTGCTTTCCTTGCATGGATCTCTCCTGTCTTTCCCCTTTCTTTTTCTATGTGCTGTACCTCAGTGATTTAGGGGGAGGAAGGTACTGTGCTACCAATTCCTCTCCCCCCACATCATCACACATCCCTGCCCTGTTCTAGTATATTACCATCTCATACTCTGTTGAAAAGTTAGCTGATAAAATGTTCCTTTTTATGTTTTGTGTAGCCAGCTTCCCATCTTTTTTTTTTCCTGTATGCTTTCACCCAAACAATTTCAGAATAGTACCTAAACATAACCTCAACCTGTTTGTGTTGCTACTATCCATGTTCCTGTATGTGTTCATATGTTGTGTGTTCCAACTTATGGATAATAATATGGACAATAAAAGTACAAGTTTGTTTCTTTTAATAACTGTTTTTTTCCCCTCTACATTTCTCCTCAGTGGGAAGCAGTCCATAGCAATTGATGACTGTACCTTCCACCAGTGTGTTCGTCTCAGTAAGTTTGACTCTGAGCGCAGCATCAGCTTCATCCCCCCTGATGGAGAGTATGAGCTCATGAGGTCAGTTAATTTCACTCTTGAGCTGCAATTTTTTGTGTGAAGATTTTCAAACAATGAATGTACTGCTCTATAACCTTTTCTCTCTCACCTTGCAGATATCGCACCACTAAAGACATCATTCTTCCATTCCGAGTTATTCCTCTGGTCAGAGAGGTGGGTCGCACTAAACTGGAAGTTAAAGTGGTCATCAAGTCTAACTTCAAACCCTCCCTGCTGGCTCAGAAGATTGAGGTGAGCTCCTGGTATCTGTGACTGGCCTGCAATATACAGCGTTAAAGCTGTGATTGTTTTAATCTGACATTATTTATTATAAAAGGTGCGTTTGATCAGAATTTTCTGTCCAACTTTTTTACCAAATAGGGATTTTGATCTGTTCATGCCACTTGAGGTAAATTCTGATCTCTTTTCAAGAATTGTTTATTTAGAAAAAAAATGTTTTTACAGCATAGGACAGATTAGTTTAAAACAGGGTTTTAATGATTCTATAAATTAAGCAACATAAATATGAAGTTACTGTTGTGTGGGATGTATCCCTCTAGATCCTTCTGAATTGTGAGTACTAAACAACAGGAGGCGTTTCGACAAACATGTTCATGAAGTTTACAGCTTAAACAGTGTTCTTTAGCCTTTCTGTCATTGACTCACATTTTGTCTGAGCCAATAAACTGCATATATCTCAACATGTTGCAGAAAAGGGTTTTCTGTTTAAATACCTTCTGATAGTCCTTTTCTTGCTCTGATTTATCCATCCATTCATTTTCTGTCACGCTTATCCCAAGCGGGGTCACGAAGGGTGCTGGTTCATATCTCTAGCTGTCTACGGGCGAGAGGCGGGGTACACCCTGGACAGGTCGCCAGTTCATCGTGGGGCAACACAGACAAACGGGACAAATAATCATTCGCAACAACAAAGACCAGCACCTAAGGAGAATTTAGAGAAGCCAATTAACCTAACAGTCATGTTTTTAGACTGTGGGTGGAAACTGGATCACCTGCAGAGAACCCTCGCATGCACATGGAGAACATGTAAACTCTATACAATATTAGCTTCTTGCCGGGAGCTTCTTGCTGAAGCAGCTCATGCTCTGATTTAAAGCTTACCAGTGGTGAAAATGGCTAACTTTAGTCTATGTATAAAAACCAGGTGTTAGATGGCAGCCTCTGGATTACACCGTGTAGTGCTTTTTCTGTTTTGTGATTTGCTTATTATATTGTAAAGGTAAGCAATAGACTTTCACTTTAAAGTCTCTGACACATTTATCTTTATTCTTTTTAACTAATAATGAGTCTGAACAAACAGAGCACAGTTCAAATGAATGCATGTAAATTTTTCTCTACGGTGACCACAAAAAATCACTATGGTGTTCCCAGTAACGAGTCTAACATATAAATGAAAATGGAAAACAGCTATGCCCTAAATGCATAGCTTCCTCTTGCTTAAATGCTTTACATGATTAAACGTCTAGTTTGATTCCTGCAGAGGCTGTAGTCATAAAGTCTTGTACTTTTTCCCCCAATCAATGACTTGTCACAGTTTTTAAGAATATCCAGGAGGCTGTATCTATACCTCACCACCACACTAGATGGCCACTTAAGCAACAGTTTAATATTCTCTCTAAATGAAGTGGTCAGAAGATGAGAGGTGTCCTGATGTGACAAAGCCTTTCTTCAGTGGGAGGAAATTTGGTCAAAACAGCTAATTGTAGCAATAATAAAATCTGAGTTTATGTCCCATTCATTGTATTTCATCATCGTCACAAAGTGGTCAGGGTGTAAGTAGTTGTTCGTAAAAATCCTAAATGTCTTTTAGATTTTTTTTTTTTTTTTTAAAGGGTCAAATATGGAAAATATTTGGTTAACATGACCTCTGGTAAGCACACTGGAAAATCCAGAGTCTAAGTCCTTGTATGTTTAAACATACCTGACAAATTTGAACTCCCACACACAAACATGGTGTTATCATAATGTTGGAGGTCGCATCTAGAAAAGAATCAATTTTAAGTTTATGCCGATTGTCCCTTCACCAGTTAATTTCTCACTTCAGCTCTTTAAGTCTCTTCTAATATGTAAATGAAACTTAAAACCCGATTTACTGTGATGTGTGGCAGTTTTGCTTGGCCTCTCCACACTTTAACATCGTTTATTTTTCAGGTGCGAATCCCAACACCCCTCAACACCAGCGGTGTGCAGGTGATTTGCATGAAGGGAAAAGCCAAATATAAGGCCAGTGAGAACGCCATTGTTTGGAAGTGAGTCACAACACCTCATTAACAAACTCACCTCTTGTATCAATTTTTGCACTCTCCCAACTATTTTATTTTTTAGGTACAAATGTCACATCTTGTTTTTCAACAATTCACTTCATGTTTTGTGTTTGCAGGATTAAACGTATGGCTGGAATGAAGGAATCTCAGATCAGTGCTGAGATTGAGCTGCTGCCCACCAACGATAAGAAGAAATGGGCCAGGCCTCCCATCTCTATGAACTTTGAGGTAATAATCCTTTGGTTTCTGTCCCCCTCTTGGTCTCCTCAGACTTGATTTATCTCCCATTTGTCTCTCCGTCTTTTCAGTTTATTTTCTAAAATTGACTCAATTTGCTCAACATTTTCTCGACTAAAAATAAACCAATGTAGAAAAACATCAAAAGGCGTATTGTAGCCAATCAGACAGATGAAATGGATAAAATGTTTCCAGTATCTTCATCAAATCCCCAGCTGTTTCATTTCCTCCCACCAAAGCAGCCTGTGTGGTCCACAAGTCTCATCTTGTTCAAACTTCTTTCTTCTTTTTGCAGGTTCCTTTTGCTCCATCTGGCCTGAAGGTGCGCTACTTGAAGGTGTTTGAGTCGAAGCTCAACTACAGTGACCATGACGTTATTAAATGGGTGCGGTACATCGGCCGCTCTGGCATCTATGAAACCCGCTGCTGAATTTCCACCCGACCAGGCAGCAATCTGACCACTTTCCCTCCCATCTATCCTGTTAAGAATGTTTTGTTTTTTTCTTTCCACCTCCCCCTACTTTGTCTTTGTTCTTCCCTCAACCCGTATCACTTCTACCCCTCTCCCCAATTATCCCTTCTTAACTAGGTGTTGGAGATGAATTGACATTGTTTAAATAAAAAAAAGTAAATATGGTGTAATGCACAGATATATGCAAAATGTGAACCATTGTACCGTATATATCTAGTAGTGATGAATACAGTTGTAAACCATCTGGTGTCTGTAAGGAAAAGACAGGTGAAGCTGGGAACTCAGGGGGAGAGACGGAAAGGTTTGAGTGAGTGCTCGGTGTTACTGTTCTATCTACGCCACTGTTAAGCTCCTTAATGTCAGACCTCCCTGATATGGTTCTTTATTGCTGTCTTCAAGATGAGTCCAGATAGTTTCTATTCACACCCTGTATCTAGTACAGTTTACCCGCTGAATAAATTGACTGATTTTTGTTCCTGGATGTTAGCCATGTGAACCCTGTGTATTTCTCACCTAAAAGGGGGGGAGGGGATTCATTCCCACCTTGTTTTTTGATATTAGATAAAGAAATTACATTGTTCAAGTTGGTTTTTATATTGTTGCATGTGTTATTTTCATGGATCCCCCTTTCCCGCTTTCAGTTTGGTCAGGTCATTTGAGGTTAGGCCATCATCCTCTCTGGCTTTTGTGACTCGTTTTCCCCCCCAAATACTTTATAAGCACTAAGATGATCATTGTCACACTATGTTCCAGTCAAAAGATCAGTCTGCAGTGAGGTGAGGTCTCCCCCTGGTGTTTGCTTCGACCGTCTGCTTCTTCTTGTTTGTAGCCCTGGTGACCATTCTGTCCAATAAAATCTATGTAACCAAACCTGCCTGGTTTTGTTTTTTCATATTTCTTGTTTCCTTAATCTGTTAGAGCAAAATGTTTGATCTATGTTTTATAGAAAGACATTTAATCAACCCTTGGTTGTTGAGAGGGAAAAATGTCTTAAACTTGTTAAATCATACTAAAAGTTCACATTTTCAGTTTAGAAGTGAAGCTTATCTAGGTGTTTTTTTTTTTTGTTTTTTTTTTTAAATTGCATCTTTATTTTTATTTTTTACTCGTGTCAAAGAACTGCAGGTATTAAAGAAACTCAGTTCTGTCTTTAATGACCCCCAGCTCTTTCTCACTGTTGTCTAACTACAGCTGGATTCTGTAGAAGTCAGTTTGACATGCTGGTTACTCTTCTTGATTGGCCTTTTCTTGGCTGTATAGATGGTTTAATTTGCCCTTATTAAAACAGATAATGGACTTCCAGGAATTGGACTCTGCATCTCCATAAAGCTTGTCAGCACAAGGAAGTATTACGTGACCTAAAGCTTCCTGTTTGATGGCTGCATCACTATAGACTTTGTCTATGGACAGAGACTGTGTCTGAGCTGTGGACTTCCGGAAAAAAAAAAAAAAAAAATGAACAGATTGCATTAACTGTGGAGACTTAAGTTTTTTTCAGACTAGAACTTAATTTTGGTACTTTTTTTTTTTTTCTTTTTTAATGTACCAGGTCTGTTAACTCCCAAGTTCTGACTCGAGCTTTAGTCCACAATTCCTAATTGGGTTTTGCTTTAAAATCAAGAAAGCAGTTATCCCATTGTTGAACCTATTTTCTTTTTTCCTTTCACTGAACTTTCCATTAGGGGTGTCCAATAAAACGTTTTCTGATAAGATACAGATATTGCCCCAATACAGTATTGGCACAAAGCATACCTGCCTTTATTACTCTGATATTGCAGAACGTTAGAAAAGGCTTGATATCGTAAAGACTGTGACAAACTATGGAGTCAAAGTGATCTCAATTTTCACAAATACACGTGATTCATACATGCATGTGCAAGCATACAACATGCACAGCACATGACTCGCCAAAGTATTTCTGGTCTATAAACATAAATTACAAAATGCCAGTGGTCTTTAAACTTCACTGCATTTGTGTGTGGATTTTTGAGACTCTTCTTGCATAACACAAATGCATTTTTTCTATAGAGGGGATGGTTTGCAACCAATCACAGATATCCCTGGTATAAGACAATCACAAGAAAGTAATCCACGTGGGATGACTATTTGCTCTGCTGCGGTCCAGTGTTCTGTCAGCTCAACATACCTCATCAGGCCAGCATCCCCTTAGTAATACGCATGCACGCGCATGATCGTTATTAGTGGTTATCAGCCCCATAGAATGGCTTCAGATTGTGCCAGTAGGCTCAGTTGGTTGTTATCACAGAGTGAATCCTAACCCTAAAGTCATTCCTTTTCCCCCCACGGAATTTATTAATCTATTTATGTGTAATCTGAAAATAATTTCAGTAGTTCTTCCTGTGCTGTAAAAATAAATATAAAATAAAAAAATTATCCAGATGTCGCTCATATTAAACAATCTAAAAACAAATAAATCTTATATCCTGTCAACTGGGTTTTAAAATCCTCTCCCTATAGCCTAGATATTTCATTCTCTGTGAAAAACTGCCGATCATTCTGTAATAAGATCCTCTTCTAACGGACATGCAATGTTTTTTTTTAAACATAATGTGTGTGAACCTAGTGAATTATTTTTTTTGTTTTATGCACAAACTCGTGAAATTAAACTACATGCTTGGATGTAAGGAGAGCAAAGACAGAGGAAACTATGCAATGCATATTACTAAGGGTTTGCTGGTCTGACGCTGTATGCTGCACTGACAGAACACCTGACCGCAGTGGAGCAAATAGTCATCCCACTTGGATTACTTTCTTGTTATTGGCTTACACAAGGGAGCCCTGTGATTGGTTGCAAACCATTCCATGTATTAAAAAAAATGCATTTGTTTATCGAGGTATGTCAGGAGAGTCGTGTGGAGCTTGTCCTGTACGTGTATGAATCGAGTATGTGTATTTGTGAAAATTGAGATCGATTTAGCTCCATACAAACAGCTCATTTCTAGAGCGTTTTATTTATTTTTTCTTTCCTCGGCAGAAGCGTTTCCAGAAAATCTTTTATAAGGGTGGCCATGGCCACCCCTGGCCCCCCATCTAGCTCCGCCTCTGTAATCCTCGGCTCCTCCCGTCCTGCCTCACAATCACGCTCTACTCACCGGATTGATCCAACGTTCATAGTAGTTTCCTCATATTTAAAAGGAGGTGGAGCTTTGCTGGAGAGACTACAAATGTGGAGGAAAAACCCAATAACTATTGAGGTTCCATCAGCGTTGAGAGTCTGAGCTATTGAGCTTAAAAGTGAGGTAAAGTGTGTAATCTCTCTCTAGTGTTAACTGACTAATCATGCACAGAGCTTCAATCACGGGATCGATTTAAAAGTGGCTGACTTGGTGCCGGCCGGCCGGACATCTTGGGGCGGGTGGCGCTCTGCTTGCCAGAGATTTTCACGAGATCTACAAGTTTACTTAGTCTGATAGTTTTTTATTTGTGAACAAAAAAATTACATTTTGATTTTTGTTGCTTTGTTTAAGAGGGGTGTAAAGGTCATGGAATCCGGATTCTGTGTTTATTTTCTTATTTTTTGTTGTAAACTTAAAGTGACTGTTCGTGTCAGATGTTTTATTCTTTTTCCCCTCAGCTTTTTGCTATTGGACAGTCAACATATGGGAGACTTTTCACTCAGGTTTGTGGAAGAAAAAAACATTGAACATTTAATTTTCATATGGACATTTAAAATGCAAAACTGATTAAAAAAAATCTATGTGAATATATATATATATATATAACCAATGAGTTACAGAAACTCAAATAGGAATAGTGTTTCTATTAGCATGAAAATATTGGAGAATTTAGATGCTGACCAACAAAATCAGATATTCATTTTTGGGCTAATATTGGACTAATATCGGATGTTCAACCCTACTTTACATTGATGATACTCTTAAAAGAGCACTCCGAAGTATATTTAGTAGTGACCATTAGCGGCTTGGTCCTCTTGTGTGCCGTTAATAACTGGTGCATTCTATTTACTATTTTTGTGTTAAAATTCTGTTTCCTGGCATCTATTTTTTGTTTTTATTCAGAACAATCTCAAATTTGGTTTATTTTCTAAAGCCATAATCATGAAATTGAAACATATCTTGGTAAATCTTTAAAAATCGACAAATGCTTAAAAGCAAACAAGACAATGTTTTTGGCCAACAAGTTTTAATACAATTTACTTCTCCTGTACATCAAGGAAGTGGGACAAAAATGAAACCCCAAAAAGTAACAATCAGAACCACTTTTGAAAGATATTGGCTTAAGGTTATGTGGACATGCTCTAACTGAGATGTTTACACTGATTCAAAAAGGTAACATCTAGAGAGAATCAAGACGAGCCTTTCTTTAAGCAATTTAGCACCGATTAACGGACAGGATTCTTTGTAGACTAAACTGGAATTTTTTAGGTCAGTCATTAAATTTATGTTTGCACACAATAGCATTAAGGTTTCACAGCTGGTTTACGCCATCATGCTTCTATGTAACCAAACGAGAAATAACTATTATTGATCATCTGATAGTATTGCTTAACAGAAAGACCACTTGTTTAGAAACAAGTTTTTCCATTGGAGAAAAGGTTTCAATATATTTAAGTCTTACGACAGCCCAGAGGAGAGGAAACTGTGCTTATCCACAACACAAACAGTTGGAAGGAGGTAGCTAACAGAAAGCGATCCATCAAAACATCCGATTCAGTGGAAGTCCCCATTTTCCATTTATTCAGATTATCATGCCAGTTCGCTACAAACGAGGAAGGTCCCATCACAAAAATAAAACTATTTGTGCCAATGACTCAAGCTCTAGCATGCCAATAAATTGTACTACACCTGCGTATTTTCAAATTCAAAACCTAATACTTTGCGTTGTATCAAAGTTTCTCACAGATCGTCAGGTCCATCTTAAATGACAGAAAAAAAGTCACCTATTGCTTACTTTGATTCTCTGCTCAGGGGGGAAAAATAAATGATAAAAAGCTAAAAAAAAAAACAAAAAAAAAAACAGATGATTAAACTTGTCACCCATTAATCAACGCCACTTAGAGGCGTCTAGTTTTAAACTAGTCTTTCAAAGACTGATTCTCGTTGGCAGATCATAAAATTTATAAGCACTTTTTTTTTTTTTTATACTATAAGCAGAAAATAAGCTGAATTCTACATCTGTCTTTCAGCAGATGCTGTCAGGAGACATTAAACATGCTGACATACAAACAATGCCATGCAGGTAACATGGACACAGGAAGCTTCAACACACAGAAATGCTGCTGCTTGGTTGATGTTAATTCTCAGATTCAGTTTAGATCCGTTATTGGTTTCAGATACCGTATTTAAACGTTAGTACGAGGATAAAAAAATCTGCAGCACACAAGCAGATCATTAAAACAGTGCTTTATCACATGGTTCCTCAGCACAAATGAACCTTCTGCTGCAAACACCAGCGAGCCCCTCTCCCTCCAGATCGCCCGCCCCCTGCTGCTAAAGCCATTACCTAAACTCCCCCTGTGCCACGAGGCAAGCTTTAGAATACAATCACAGATGGAGCAGTGCACCAAGGCTAATACCTGAAAATATTGCTAAGTGACAGTGAGCGACCAGTTACCAACATAAAACCTGACAAACACATAAACTCAATTTGAAAGAATGTGGGGGTCTAGTTGGGAGTTTACTGACCGTTACACAGAAACAGAAAAAGAAAGAAGATGAAAACAGGTTGTTAAAAACAGGAGCTGTGGACGACCTGGCTGTCCAACTAACATGACGCTGAAGTGCTAAAAGAAAAATCCATGAACACGATAAAAATCTGCAGCCAGGATCTCCATGACGACCACACAGCTTGACAGCTCTGTTCACTGGTAGTGCTAACTTGAATTCATAAGACTCGGCTCTAGTTGTCGTCGTCTTCGCCCTCTTCGTCGTCGTCCTCGCTGATGAGGTAAGCCCGGGCCCCGCTGTGGTGAGGAGGTGAGGGAGGAGGGGAGGTCTTGGAGAAGAAGGGCAGGCGGAAGGTCGGGGAGGGCGAGCGCTCCTCTCGGACGGGGCTGCTGTCGGGGCTTTGCCTGGGGCTGATGGCCTGCAGCATGCGGCCTTTTCCTTCCTTCAGCATGTGCTTCTGCAGAGCCCACAGAGAAATTATGACATCATTTAAAAGTATTGCTTTTATCTGCATTTTCTTTACCACAGGTAATCACTAGATTCATGGTGTTCATTCATTTTCACTTTTTCTTAGATTTTTAAACCCAAGGCTA